CAAAGAAAAAGCCATTTTCACACGGCCCCTTATGAGCTGGGCAGCAAGAGGAGGGTCTGGCACTGCTCAATGTCCTACAAGACACCCACAAAGGGGCTGGTTCGGGGTGGTGCTGGATCCCCCGGGCACTGAGCAGGCTCAGCTCACCCCTGACTTTTCAGTGTGCTGAGGATTAACCACAGTGTGACTCCTGCACTCGTTTGTAGCCTGAATGAAACAGGAAAAAACCTCTTCTTTGACTTTGCAAGGAAAGGGTTTGTGCCTTTTCCTTTTTGCTGAGAACAGCCCCTTTTCTTTTAGCCCAGACAAAACCAATGTTTTTTCTCACTAGGCTTTACTTGGAAAGGCTGGGGATGTGTCACCCCCTCCAGAGAGTGACAGGCCAACAACCAGACCTCCTTGAACAGAGCACCAAGTTGTTGCTACACAGCCAATAAAAAACCATTGAGGTGGAATCAGCCACAAAGCTGTGGCTCCTCTTTCTGTCCAGCTCCCTTCCCAGGCACTGGAAAGCTCCAATTCCTGCCTGTGGGGACAGACTGGAGCAGCAGCCAAAAGGGCATAGGGGCATGGCTGCAGCCCTCACACCTGCCAGGCAATTTCCTCTCCTAGGAAAGCAGAAAAATGATGGATCAGAGCATCTCCCCTCCATTTGCCAGGCTGCAAATGCACCCTTACCCACAGCCACAGTGCTTTTTCATACTCTGCTTTAATTTAGCAGTAATTAGCAGCTACCAGTATTAACTATTCAAATTTTGGATACCAAAAATTCTATGTGCCACACCTTGAAAGTGTGATTATTACTTTTTCTTAGAAAATTCTTAAACTATACAATTGGGGTGAGGCCATAGATGGGACAAAACAGGTCAAGTCTCTGAATGCTGGCATGAGAATGAAGGGAAAAGTGGAAATTCAGACTCTTATCTGTCCTCTGGAACACAGCAATAGTGAGTTTGAAGAATAAAAAGTGAATTTTTATCAGTTTAGCTGCTTCCCTGTACACACAGAATTTGGAACTTCTCAAGGCTGCAGCTTGCAAGGCCTTCTTGAGTAAGAAATCCTTTAATCCCCTAATTTTGATCAGTTGTCAGTGGTGTCTGCTCTCTCAAATGAAGCCTTAAAACACTGACAGAAATAGATATTTCTAAGCAGGAAAAAAAAATAAAAGAGTGTCCAAACTCTGGTTTTGCTGCACCTCCAGCAGGATCAGCCCATTTCCACTGTGTAGCTACAGGGAAATGGTCATCAATTACAGTCTCACAAAAACGTTTAAAGTTTGGAAGCTTAATGAGGTTCTTTAGAGTGTACCAGGAGGAAAACAGCACCTAGGACCTGCTGGAGGATTTCTCTCTGAATCCTTCCTTGGTTTGTTTTAACAAAGAAACAGTCTGTGCAAGACAAAAATTAAACTTTCACCCTCTGTGTGAGACAGTTACCAAAGGTCCTTCCTTGGTTTGTTTTAACAAAGAAACAGTCTGTGCAAGACAAAAATTAAACTTTCTGTGTGAGACAGTTACCAAAGCAGGGAGAGAAGATGAATTCTCAGAGGTCAGACTATTCTGGCTGAGGGAGCAGCATCCTCTGGGCACACCTGAGGAAGGGGAGCTGGAAAAGCTTCATGGCACTGCCAGGTGTCCTCTGCCACCTCTGCTGATGGCTCAGTCCCTGGCTGACTTCAGCCACAGCTTTAGGACTTGCCAAGGCTGCAGAAACAGCAAAACCCACAAATATTTCAGCAGAGAGGCTGGAGTTTGGGTTTGCAATCCTCAAGCCAGCTGAGGATTTGGATTTACTTCCAGTCGTGTGTAAATAAGGGCTGAGCCTTACAGCCTAGCTGGTGGAAAAGACTTAGCAGCACCAGGTAAAAGGGAAAAAATTCCTTTCCAAAGCCAGAAATAAAGATGGTTTGGGCCTGATGTATTAATTTACACACTTAAATCCAAATCCAACTTATCCCCCTGCTCCCAACCTCTGGTGGCACTTTGGGAACGTAAATCCTGTGTGAAACAACAACCTGAACCTGCCCAGGATGAGGAGCTCTCAGATTGAAGCACTGAGCTTGAGAGCAGCACAGAGCACCGCAAAGCCACTGGGGAATTACTGAGTCTCTTCTTGTTAGGCTGGGTTTAGTTAAAACCATCTGAAGATGGTGTAATTACCGTAAAAGGCTGTGGCAGTGGGACATGGTTGTGAAAGGAGAGCTGCAGCATCAGCCTGACACTTTACAAATGCAGGGCTGAGTTTCACATGTAAACAAGCTCACTCACAAAAAGCAGACAGGATCACTGCACAACAATTACCACTCTAATCCACAGATTAAATCAACAGACAAAAAAAAAAAAAAAAACAAAAAACCAACCAAACAAAAACTACAAAACCCCATTTTTTCCCCCCACAGCCAACCCTTCACACAATAAATTGGCTTTATTTAACTCAGAGGAGTTTCAATGGCAGCCTTGGCATTGCAGGGAGCAAAGTGTGAAGGTTCTGAATGGTTCTTCAGAAGAAACCTGGAGCCTCCCCCTTCCCTGCTCCAGCAACTCTCCTTTTTACTGTTTGTTTCAACAAGCTTGCAATGAGTTTGTGGCTCCTGGCAGCAGAATTTACAAAATCATAAAGCAGCATGATGAGAACACCACCTCTAGCTGAGGGAAATAACGTTGCTGATAACACTTATCTCCACACAAAGTAACCCTTCTAGCAATATTCACTTTGTATGAACTGCTCTGTGGTCTGCTCTTTATACAGAAAGACCCTGCTGTGCTTTTATGTCTGATATTTAAGACATAATTTAATTGTAATCTTAATTCCAATTAGTTATTTCAAGGCAAAATCATTCCTGATTTTTAATAAAGCTCATTCTTCCACTATGAAACTGGTTTTTCATGGGGTTTTTTTTTCCAATTTTGAAGCCATGCAACATCATAACTACTTAAATTTCAAACAGGGCAAACACTTTCCTTAGCAGGAAGAGAGTACATTTATTTCCTGTGTGCAAAACTATGCAACTCCAGTTTTACTTGGACTGAGAAAGTAGAAAAGTTTAATATCTTAACTTATTTTGGCCAGCAAACTGTTAGTGTTACAAAAAGTTTGTCTGTGACACAATAAAGACAGGCATTCCAAATAAATAACAGATTATTTAATTTAACTTTTTTTTTTTTAAGTGTTTGTGATTTTAAAAGATTTGGAATGTGTATTTTCAACTTTTTATTGACAAGACTGTACAACCAGCTAGAGAAAGGGCTAAATCTGATTCTCCTTTCTAGTTTCGTAATTTATTCCTGATTTGGCCAAAATCAGGCAGGGAAATATGCCCCGAAATGGAAGGGATTAAAACCCACTGCAACTTGATTGCAAACAGAGCCAGACAATCTTGTTTAGCTTCATTTTCAGAGATCCCTGAGAAGGGACATCCTTAAAATGGATTTGTTTGTGCTTCAAAATAACAGTGACCCAGGAATTCAGGCACTCCAGAGATGAGCACTAACACAAAACCCACAAAACCACAGAAATCTGAGTGTGTAAAACCATAGGAATATGAGAGTGTAAAACTTACTCTGTGCCCTCCATAGAACTGAACTAAACCTTTCCTACTTCTCTGGATAACTGGAGTTACCATCAGTGGCAGAGTTGGGAATATTGTTGAAAAATCATATAAATGCAGAGGGTAAATTGGCTAATACTTGAGCAAATGTATTGTTCATTTATTCCACTGATGTTAAGACTTAATTCTCGTTGTCCCAAAGAACTATATTTTATTTTAGCAAAAATCTGGTAAAGTTGCATGGATTAAGTGACACCACCTGAGAAACTCTTGTTTATTCTGAAATGTTATCTGTGGGTAGATATATTTTGATTTAAGGTGTTAGGTGTTCAGATTATTGAAAATTTCAACAGAAAATAAAATTTCAGTTTTACCCAGAGAGTGCATATGTCTCTCATATTAATCAGGTTTAATTTAGTTGGGGGAGGTATTTTATTTTTAAATAAAACAGTATTATTTGCTGAAATAACTCATGAAATCTAAACTTACTGATGTAGCAAGAAAAAGAGATTCAGGCAGACAATAGCATGTCCTAAGATTGAAGGAAATTAAGTCAATGTAGAGTTCTCCCTTCAAGGAGTTTTAATTCCTGGTTCTTTAAAGTGTAGCTGTTGCTGTCCTGAACACAAAACAGCCTCAGAAAAAGGCTCTGTCTTAAAAATAAAATTAATGGGTCCTCAAGAAATTGTAGTAACCCAGAATTGTGTAACAAGCTTTGAATTGTGAAATCACTCAGAATTCAAAGTAACATTCCATTTCTCTGATTGGCTTAACACACACTAAACCCTGCAAGGAACAAATGGGAGGCTACACTGCGCTGATTAAATATTTATAGTCAGAAAAAATATGTCACCACAAAAGCAGATCATCCTCTGCAAACATCTGATTTTCTTCCCTTAGTCTAACAAGAAATCAGAGTCAGGGGGACAGGAGAGAGTTAAACTCTGCTGTTATTCTAGCTGAATAACTAACACTTACACAGTCCTTTAAAAAATAATGAGATCCAGAAGCCAGAGTATTAGTTAGCTGAAACAAGGATGAGGATGTAGCTCTCAAACTCCTAAGGGAAGAAACATTTGGGGGGGAAGGAAAAAAAAATAAAGGAATATTGTAAATCATCTTCTTTCTTTCACCTTTGCCTCCTCATTAGTATGGGTTGGAGGCTCTTTCCTCCAGCAGCAGGAGCCAAGCTCCCGAGCAAGTGGCACATTTTGTTCTATGTCCTTTCAGGATATGGAATTCCTTTCCTTGTATCCTCTTAAAAAAGAGTTAAAAAGAGTTAAATTTTCTTATCCAGACCATGGCTGGATAAGAAAATTTCCAGCTGAACTCACACCCCTAAGTGCTCTAGGGTTACAAGGTCTAAATCATTGCAAGGTAATGAATAGTCTAGTCTGATCAAATAGAAAGGTAGTGAATAGTCTGATCAAATAGAAAGTTTTTGTGCACTTACTCCCAGAATTCCATCACTGGAGAAGTGGCATTTTGTAAAGAGACTTGACTGCAGTTGCTCATGTTGAGTTTTTGAAATTCCACACAGTTTTCTAGAAAACAACCAAAAAAAAAATAAAAGAGTTTGCTATGTTGACATGCAAGTACAGTTCTTGTTCATGTCCCACTTTGTGCACCTTGGAAAGCCCCCACTCTACACCACATTTTCTGGAAGGGATTTTTGGGGGCACTAAGGGGGCACAGCTGCTACTTATGCAACACCAGGTTATGATAACTCAGAGAAACATCCATGAGAACTCTCCTACAACACTTCCCAGAGGCACAGGGCCAACAAATCACCTCAGGCAGACAAAAGAAACATTGAGGCAATGGATTGGGAATTACAATTACAACGTGCTCCTACTCCAGCTGCTGCTTCACTAGTTTATGGCTACAAAGGGAACATGGCCAGCCATAAACTCCCACTTTTTCCTGGTAAAGAAAGTGGGTATTTCCTCTGGCTTATCACTGCTTTTATTATTATTATTATCACTATTATTATTCTCTCTAACACAAAGGCCAAAGCAGCTCAGCACTGTGGAGCATTTGAGCAGTGATAACACTGGCCAAGCTCCTTGGCAGGGCTGCCAAAATTGATACCAAAGCCTTCCACATCTACTGGGCCCAAAATTACCTCCCTAATATTGCAGAAACTAAGATTTCAGGCAGCTTTAGGTGTGCTCAAAGAACACAAAAAATGGCCAATTAGTGAAAACTATGAAAGACAACATGATGGGTACTTGATTTGAAATTGGATTCATATAAGGGATACATGCAAAATTTCAGGAACAAGGAGAGTGGGATGAGATCCTCCCCATGGATGTTTGGGATCTAGAGACTCAGTAAGCAGAGAATGACAGCTATAAATATCAATGAGAGGACAGATGCAGAGCCCTACCCTGCAAACCCTCCTGAATACATACCTCATCCTTCATGCAGGAGGCTACTTTACATGCAGCAAGGATTATTTATGAGACTACATTTCCAGAAGTAGCTTGATGAACATTATCCCTCAACATCTGGCATTTAAAAGAGCAATTCCAAAGATCCACATTTAATATTTTTCTCTCTCCATTCAAACTCCTCCTGACTTCATTAGAGTGAAAGAGCAAGATTGCAACCTGTCATCAGGTCATTCTCTGCTGCAGAATTCACTCACTGTGTTCAGGGAGAATAGATATGATTGCAAATGAGAGTCTTGGGATTTAGCCAGGAGATCTTACAGAATTAACAAATCCATAGTCTTTTTCTGCTGACATTATATTCTAGAGGAGTAAATGCTTTACAATGACCTAACCCAAAAAGGTCCAAGGCAGTTTCACTCCAGGTTTCCTTTTTTTGCTGTAGTGGGATGAGACTGGCCCATTTGCACAGATTTTGCTACATCAATAGCTTTGTTCAGGACATTTCAATATAATAATCACCTGAGAGGATTTTTATAGTGGTAATCTCTGCTGGGGTCATACCTGTATTCCATTCGTGGCCACAGGAAGCCCAGGGAAGCTCTGTAGTAAAGCAGTTGAACAAATAGAAGATAGCCCATGCTAAAATGATGATGTAATATACATTTAGGTGTGCTTCTATAACTTGGGTAGCATAGCCAATGCCTGGAGGAGCAAAACAAAAAGTGAGATAGTAAAGAAAACTTCTGCTTTTGAGGCTCTATTTAATTTAAAAACAAAAGCTTACTCTTAAGTTTATCTTAACTTTAATTTTGATACAATTTATTTCATTTTACTTCAAATGGAATGCTTTCTTTTGCAGTAGAACACAGAACTGTTACCTTCAAAGAGAGGGCAAACTTTCCTCCAGCATGTGATGCCTCCTTCACTTGTAAACTGTCCCAAGGCCGTCTCCAAGAAAAATACTGGTATTCCACAGCAAATAAAAAAGACCACGTAGGGGATGAGGAAAGCACCTGAGGGTGGATATTGAAGGGGTGTTGGTTAGAATGTACAGGGCTCCTCAGTGAGGGTTTTTCCATTATGGGAAGGATCAGCTGGGAGCCATCAGTGCAGTGCAGGAAGGGTTTATCCTGCCCCAAATGGCCAACATTAACCTGTAAAGCAGGGCCATGGACTAAAACAGACCAGGTCAAAGTTCCTCAGCCAGGTCAAAGTCAGCTCAGGAGTCTCTCAAACACAAAGATCACAGCCATGCTCAGCTCAGACTTCTGCTCTGCCCAGCACCACATCAGTCTGCACCACCCTCCTTGCTTTTCTCAGGGGTGAGGAAGCGTTACAGATATTAAAGCTGAGAAATCCTTTTCATGTTATTTATACCATAAGGATTGTGAAAAGGGGATGAGGAAACAAACTTCAGAACTACTTACAAGGACAGAAAAGCAGGGCCTGACCTTATCAGCCAGGAATATTGATGTGAAATTTTAAGAAAATAAAGCATCAGCATTTTGGTTGGATGCTGACAGTAAACTCCAGCACAGGTAGTGAACTACAGCAAACACAGCACAGCCACACCCTGCAACAGCTGCTGTGCTTCACCCTGATTCGATCTCCCTGATTAGAAAGCTGAGAAAACTACATCCACCTGCTCTGACTGAGTTTCTTTCATCTCATCACCAGGAGTCTCTTCCTTCAGCCAGGAAATTTCCCTAGAGATGAACCCCAGGTGCCTCTCAAGCAATCCACAGGGATTCCACAAAGAATGGAATACTTGCATGGCTCCTCTGGATAATTTACTGGCCAGCATCATCATACACGCTATCACAGTGAGTTTAACAATGCAACTTGTGGAAATCCAAATTACCAGCTTGTTTTTCCAACCGGCATACATCAGGAACATTAGAAAACATCAGGATGCCCAGCAAAAAGATCATATTCCAAGAAATACCTCATTCTAAAAACACAAAGAAATCAATTTTCCTCAAAACCTGAACATCCACAGCCTAAACTTATGGATGATTATTCCTACACTCCTGTTATGACTTGGAGTAAGTGCTAGAGAGGTCACACCTCACAAGTTCCAAACTACAGCTTCTAGATTTGTTCTGTAAAGAGAAATTTATTTCACAACTAGCTCAGATATTTACCACTGTCTTCCCCTAGCACACGCCAAGGGGTTGGATACATCAAATTTAAGCACTAAAAACAAACTCTGGTTTAATTCCAGCAGGGGGTTACACAAGCTCACAGACTGAGCCTTCATTGACTAAAACTGGTCAATGGCAAATGTCCCATGGTGCCAGGACACGAGCAATTAAATCACACCCCCTTATTCTACTCTTAAAGAGTTCAGTGGTGATAAAATATGATATTTAAGTAATTAATTTTTCTTCAAATCACCCAAAACAATGATTAAAATTCCTTCTACCTCATGTTACAGCCTTTAAAATGATAGCATCAGCTTTTGACAAGTTGGTACACACCTACAAATGGGCACCTAAAGCTGCAAGAAACCAAAAAAATCGCACCCCAAAAATATATTCCTGTCATTTCCTCTGCCAAAAGTTCTCTGGGAACACTTTGACCATCAACAAGAAAGGGTTGTGTATATGATGTGCAGCATGTTAATATTCAGGATCTGGTAGCAGCATTCTCTAAAGAGCTGAACTCTTTGTACCTACGTTTGGCCAAAATACAGAGACATAAAGAAAGGAACTTCCAACAATAAACACAATTTGCACAGCAGGATTTGTCTTGTAGAAACAGCACACAAAATGGGCTAAAAACCATCCCTGAGTTCAGATAAGGAGGGACAAGGAATAGAAAATTGGCAGAGCAAACAAACCCATCAAGGAGCAGATCAGTGCTTATCAGCCCTGAACATCCTATTTTTCTTCCAGCCTCTGTGTTTACACTGCCACTGACTCAGGCCTTAAGTGGGAAGAAAGTTGAACCCAGTCCACCACAGAATTCTAAACTGAGTTTGTAATTTACTTTCTTGCTGCCCAAGTCCCAGCTGATGTGCTTATTCTCAACTGTCATTTATCTTATACAGTTTATAGTTGGCTATAACCAATACATGCCACATGTTATACTCTGTAGAAGTTGAGGCTGCTCTTTTCTCTCTCAAATAACATTCACATGTTATGTTTATTAGGGCTTGCTCTCTTTGAGTAACCTGTAGTTTTACATCTTCCCCTACCTTGCTGTAGGAATTGGGGAAGTACTGAGGGGAAAAAAAAGAGCAATGAGGTATAAAAATTTCATGCGACAAAGAAAAGAAATTTAGTCTTTGTGGCATTATTAGAAAAAAAAAAATACTCATCCTCTCCAAAGTAAACTGCTGTGACAAATGAAGTGCTGCCTTCTTTTCTGTGTCAGGCAAACTTAGTTAAGTATGCCTGGGTGTGTATTCACATGCAGAAGACAGAGTGTACTACTATAACTGAATGCTGGCTTCTCCTGCATGAAAAATGCTCCTGAAAAAAATACGTCAATTTACTAACGCAACAGCAACTTGTAAAAATAAACCACGCAGTGTTTGGAGAGAAGGAAAGAGAAACACAACGATTTTTCTGAGTTGTCAGATGTTAATGCTTCCCTGTCTGCACATGCACTGAAATCCTGAACACATCTCTCTTACTAGTGCAATAAATCACAGCAAAGCACTCTTAACTGTTTAATTCCCACGTAAAGCCACACGTGATGCCATCTTACCTCCTCCATTCTTGTAGCAAAGATATGGGAATCTCCAGACATTTCCCAGCCCAATAATCTCCCCTGCCACAGAAAGCACAAATTCAACCTTATTGTTCCAGTGACCTCTTTCATGAACTTTCTTATCATTGCTGTGGACGAGGTTGGTACTTGAGGCTTCTGGGTCCAAAGCATCTTCTGGCTTGCCATTAATTATAGGAATAGTCTTTTCAGCTGTCATGACTTTTCAGCCTAGTGGAGAACAAAAGAAAAACACACAGGTGTGTTAAGACACTTGCTGGCACTGATCTTCAACGACTGAAATCTCCCAGGGTGGCACTGGCTTCTTGTTACCTATGGAAATCTGCGGGTGAAAATGAAGGAGGCAACTCCACAAGGCTGGGAAAGTTGTAAGGCAGGGAAAAAGGAAAAGAAAGGGTTGGGGGGGAAGAGAGAAGGTTCTGTGCAAGGTGAGGAGTAATTCCAAGTGGTGACAGGTAACTTGCTTTCATAGAGGGAAGCCTTTCAAAAATCCCTCTCCAGGCAAGGATCGCAGCCTGCCTGCCCTAGCAGCGGACAGGGACCTGCCGCACCTTCCGGGCGCACACCTGAGCGCTCAGGCTGTGCAGGAGGGCCGGGCTGGCTGTGGCCTGCCTGCAGCACCGGGGCTCCGGCATTACTCACCCAGGGCTCTGCCCGTGCTGCGCGCCGGGGACAGGGGCCGGGCTGTGCTCAGCGCTGCCTGCGGGCGATGCTGCGGCTCCGGGAGCGCGGGCAGGGCACGGCGGCCCGGGGAGGAGGCGTTCGGGATCCCCGGGAGCCGGGAAGCCTCGTCCTGCCCTGCCGCTGCTGGCGGCCCGGCGTGGGTTGTAGGATGCTCCCCGCGCTCTGGAGCCGGAATTTGCAAATGCTCAGCCCTCCCCGGAGCGATGGTTTAACACCCGCCTCCCCCCTCCGCCCACCTCAGGCTGTCCCGCCAGCTCCCCCCTCCTTCTCTTCCTCCTCCTCCTCCTCCTTCAGCATCACCACCGAGCATCACCAGGCGAGCAGAGCATCCCCGGCTGCGCTCCCCGCCCGCGGGCAGGGCCGAGCCCGGCAGGTTGGCAGCCGTGTTCCCATCCCCATCCCCGGCAGTCCCAGCCCTGCTCCTCAGCCATCGGGCAGGGATGGGAGCCGCGGGCAGGGCCGAGCCCCGCAGGTTGGCAGCCGCGTTCCCATCCCCATCCCCGGCAGTCCCAGCCCTGCTCCTCAGCCATCGGGCAGGGATGGGAGCCGCGGGCAGGGATGGTACCCGCGGGCAGGGCCAGCCCGGCGGGTTGGCAGCCGTGTTCCCATCCCGGCAGTCCCAGCCCTGCTCCTCAGCCCTCGGGTAGGGATGGTACCCGCGGGCAGGACCGAACCCCGCAGGATGGCAGCCGTGTTCCCATCCCCATCCCCGGCAGTCCCAGCCCTGCTCCGCAGCCCTCGGGCAGGGATGGGAGCGCGGGCAGGGCCAGCCCGGCGGGTTGGCAGCCGTGTTCCCATCCCCATCCCCGGCAGTCCCAGCCCTGCTCCTCAGCCCTCGGGCAGGGATGGTACCCGCGGGCAGGGCCAGCCCGGCGGGTTGGCAGCCGTGTTGCCATCCCAGCAGTCCCATCCCTGCCCTCAGCCCTCGGGAGGGGATGGTACCCGCGGGCAGGGCCAGCCCGGTGGGTTGGCAGCCGTGTTGCCATCCCATCCCTGCTCCTCAGCCCTCGGGCGGGGACGGAGCCGCGGGCCCAGCCCCGCACCTGCCGCGCTCGGGGGCTGGCGCAGGCCCCGCAAGTTAAAAAAAGGAACCCGCCGGGAACAGATGACACAAACTTCAGCTGGAAAGGGCGGCGGGGAGAGCCGGGGGACAGACGGGATGAAAAAATAAACGGAGGGGGAACATTTGGGAAGTGTGGAAACAATGTGGGCGCTTTCGAGTTCCACCAGGGAAATGCAGAAGCAAGCAGCCCATGTGGGCATTGCTAGCTGGGCTTGGCTTAAAATTCAAGCTGCAAAAGAGGTGAGAAGAGGGAAAGAATTATTACAAATGCTTTTGTTTCAGGTTGAATCAAATATTTGGAATCGAGATTTTTTTTTTTTCCATCTAACACTCTCCTTTTTAAATTTTTTTTTGTAGGTCAGTCATTTCTAACCTGTTTCCAAAGCCAAATTAAATACCTCTTCTTTCTTCATCTCTGCAGCTTCTCCTGGCAAATGGCAGCGCCCAAGTCAGGTTCTTGCTTCAAATCTTCCCTCAGCTCCACACTCTGCTGCAGTTATGATCAGCAAGGCTTTGCTCTGCAACTCCAGGGAATGCACTTTGGAACTCACAGCTCCTAAATCCAGGATTCTGCTGGAAATGCCCCAGGGACAGTCAGACCTTGTTCCATGTGAATCCTGTCCCTCTCACCCCCCAGCTCCAGGGGCTTTTCCCACTGCCTGGCCACCGTTAGCAGTGCTCGTGGAAGTCAATGGAAAGCTGCCCATGGATAGATTTTAAATTAACTTGAGCTGACTTCGTACCCTGCTTGTACATTACACACTGGAGCTTCTGCTGTGGTTAAAGTTTTCAGGATTTTGCATTTCAGTGATGCCTGTCACAAGAGTGGGTGCTGGGGCCTCACCCTGTCAGCTCTCTGTCACATCAACCCTTGCACCTAACAGGTGCAGGATGAGCCTCTCCCTTGTCTTCTTGATGCCAGCATTTAGAGTTCTAGTCAAACCTATCTTGGGAAAGGAAGTCTGCCAGTGGGAAAACTGAAAAAAAAATGCAAAATTCTTATTTTATTTTTTTTAAGCATCCTTAACACAGATATTACCAGAGCTAGTTTTGATTTTCAGTGATGTATTTGTGGCTTTGTTTTTAATGCAGCTGTTATTCATTAATTGAGGATGGAATAGATCAATTTTTCCCGAGCTGACTTTGCACAAACTAAACTCAACTTGGAGGGCTTATTTGTTGATTTATTTTTACCTCCTTCTTCATCTTGTTTTCAGCAGGGATCAAAACAGACCCTGTTTTTCTGTCTCCCAGCCAGGTCTAGCAGGCTCAACAGGATACACTTAAACATCAAAGCTGACAGTGAATTCTCATTTTATTCCTGAGAATAATTCTAAAAACAGAGGGAAGCTGAGGGACAGTAAACATTTGATGATTCAATATAGAGGAGAGACCAACCTTCATCAAATTGGTGATTCCAAATTGAAGGGCCTACTGCAAGGGACAGTCTGCACACAGATGCTGAAGGTGTTTATTTGCTGATTTGTTCAGTATTTGAAATGATTAATTCCTGCTGTCAAATGTTTTATCCGCTGCTGTATTCCTGCACCAATTCCCATTCAGTCTCCTCCCAACTGAAGTGTTTGTGGAAGTAATTTCTGGCTGCTAATCCTTGTGAGCACTTCCCAGTGTCTGCAACAAAAAATGACAAATTTTAGAGCAGGTTGAGAACCCTTTTTTTAAATTGATGGAGCCTTTGCTGTTGCAATGAGGGAAATTCCCTGGATTACAGGCCAGGTGTCAGTTCATGCTCTCACTGTGTCTCTGGTGCTCCTCATCAGGAATTCCTGCCTGTTCCTCTCAGCCTGTTGGGAGGTGCCATTAAAATGAGGTGCCCTAAAAAGCAATTCAAATTCTGCTTTATTCAGGTTTATCTCCGCACTCCCAAGGAGTCTTTTACAACTCTGTGCAGAAAGTGCAGGGGTGGGGGTGGAAATCAGATGTTTCTGCTCACCAGAGAATGATGCTGTGAAGTACCAAATGTTCCAAGGCTACATTTATTTAGATTTATAAACTAAAATTAATCAAGAGAAGTCATTCATACCTAGAGTAACTTGGGAAAACAACCTCCAAGAAAAATCCACATGTCCACAGGATTCTGCCAGGCTGCCAAAATTAATGTCAGCTAAAGTCATGTGATACAGCTTTGGAAATTTAAAACTGGGGCTTGGCTCATTTCTTCCCCTTATTGTAACTCTGAATTTCTGTGTTGTTTCTGCAATAGAAAATCCTGTGTCAATATAACTGGGGGGAACAACAATCCTCTCCAGATTTAAAACCTTCAATTTAGATTTGCTATAAGCAAAATCTGCACAAGCCATCTATAAAGATTTCATAAAGCTGGACTCTTCGTGGGAAATAGCTACACAAAAGCAAAGAAATACAATCAGAATTTCAGCAGTGATAATAATCTGACAATATTTTGGATCAAAAGCCTAAAATTACAAAGCCATTTATGAACAAGACCAACACATTTAGCTGTTTTATTAGAGATTGACTTCAATCAAAAATAGGCTGATTTGTGCCTAATCAGTTTTCTGTAATGGGAAAAAATATTTCTTTTTTGTAGATAATTTTAAGTAAAGCAAAACCTGATTGTTTGGCTTGTGCTTAGAAAGGCTGAACCTCTATCATTGTAGATATCTCTCCATCCAATTTATTGCCTCACAATGGGTGAGATGCTGAATTTTGGGTTGAGGAGAGCTGCAAAAATCACTTTTCCATCTATTGATGTTGCCCTTCCCTTGTCAATCTGAGACCTGTATTTTGTTACCTGCATTTTATCTTCTACCCCCTCCTCTAGACAGGAGTGGGTGAGAATATTCCAAATAGGGGATTTCTGCTGCCGACTAATGCTGATCCCATGGAAAAGGTGGCACAAATTGGGGTTCCCTTGAGTTAATTCATCCATTCCCACTGCACTTTAGGGACACACCCTTCTGCTAATGGGTAATGGTATCCTGAGTTTTTTAGACATGAATTTTATACACAGACAACACTTGGAAAGAACCTCCAGTCCTGGGTTATCCACAACTTCCAAGAGTTAGCAGTCACCCATCCTAGTGAACTGAAATCTACAAAATAGCAAATAAATGACAGCACTAAATGAGAAGACAATTTTGAAAGGTTTTAATGGGATTTACAAGTGAGACTAAATAAAAGAAATACCAAAGAGACCTGAGAAGAACTCAATACATAAGACCACAACTGCCTGTAGTCAGTCATTGTTCCAGGTCAGAAGCTGAATTTGCACTCTTCATGCAGATACAGATGTTATCAGAATGTCCAGCTCATAGGAACTGGGAGCTGCTCCAGCCTGGAAAAGAAATGAACTCTGAGGAGACATAATATTTTCAACTCTGTTAAAATATTTTGTGTTATTAAAGGTACTCAGTGAACAATGTCAGAATTTAATTCAGGTTACAGAAGCTCTCTGCAGGCTCATGAAATCTTTTAT